AGCAGCAGCAGCAGCAGCAGCAGCAGCAGCAGCAGCAGCAGCAGCAGAGAGACAATGAATGCATGTCTGCCCAATGCTCAGACCACCTTCTCCTTCCCTCTTAGAGTCTGGAACTCAATCTCAGGGGGTGGTGTGCCCCACTTTTAGGATGGGGTTCCCACCTCAGATAAGGTAACCAGGACAACCACACACTGACATATCCATGGGAAAACTTCATCTAGACAACCCAGCGTGAAGCCTCTCTTCTCAGGCGATTCTAGATCATGGCAGTCCCAGACTGCCTACCAAATATTTACGTTTCTATCCAGGCAGTAGTGCTGACCCCCGCCTTGGTCAAAGATACTTCTCTTTACAGAGAGTGGTGGCAGCCAGGCATTCATGGTCAAGGCGCTGAGACCAAGCAACTGCTGAACCGTAAGCAGGACACGCCCATCTCCTCCCCCAACAGAATACTGCCGAAGAAGGGCAGAAAGGGAGCTAGATCTGAACAATAGGTAGGAGGGCCAACTTAAGGGCACAAAGAGACCTCTCTGCTTCTGTATGCAGACAAAATGAGGTCAGTCATTTCCTGTTCTGGCTGACATGCCTTCCCTGCCATTATGGAACCAATGAGACAGCTGTCTCGGGTGAGACTGGGGGTACAGGATATGTTGAGGTTTCTTTTCATCCCTACTGTGATCTCTGGAGCTCCTGATGTCTAGTTCTTCCATGGCAGCTGACGGTCTTCGTGTCTGTCTCATGTCAGAGAGGAAGCAAGGAGCCCAGCTGGCCTTGAGCACCAGGCTCTTTCCTGACACTCGCCTGGCTTTCTCCTGAGTCAATGCTGCTGCTCCCACACTGACAGGGCTGGGATGTCACCACGCTGTTTGTAACTCACTGAAATCTAAAATTTTCTTGAAATGCAGGTTTTTGTTCCCCTTTTGACAATAAGAATGTGCGTGTGGGTTTGTTGTCTAGTGTGACACACAGTTTCTTCAAAAGAGAGCAAGAGTTATAAAACTTGGTAGAAAATAAACCTGAAAACTTAACAAAAAATAGAACATGCTATGTGCTGGCACTGGTAGACCTGTGGTTTCTCACGTAGACCTGGTGCAAGACGAGACTCACGCATTCGCAGAGGGTAAAGAACTCAATTGTCCCTGTCCCAACAAGAGAACCAACAGCAGCCAGTGGCTGCTGGGGGCAGACAATTCTTCGGTGACAAAGTCACTGGAGAGTTACTCATCTGCCAGTGGGTAGGTTTACATCTAACCCCATGTGAGTGGCCCTAGATCAACCCAGTGGATCACAAAGCAAAACCAAAAAGCCAGGAATGTGAGACAGGGAGTTTGGTGGGGGAGAGGGTTGGTGAGGGTGGAGAAAGGACGCAGGGATGAATGCGGCCAGAATAAAACTGCCAACAAATAAAATAACAAACACTGAAAGGGACCTGAAATGGGCTATAAATCATCAAATTAATTTAGTTCGGGACCTGGATAAAAAAGACAGCAACATAGAGAGAAAAGTCGGAAGACAAACATGAGAAAGTCATCAGGATAAAAGAGAAAAGGGCGGCCAGGAGATTGGATCTTGAAGGAAATTAGAAAAGTTGGAAACTAAGAACTTAATGAATCAAATAAAAAAATCACAGTGGAAAGCGTCAGCAATCGATACATAGGAGGAAAAACAGCAGGAATGCAGGACGGGGTTGATGAACCACTGCACTAAACATTACTAAGGATAAAAATGAACATGGTCACAACTTCCAAGAGCTCTGGGATCTATTTAAGGCACCAAACCTAAGAATCTCCAGCAGAATAAAGAGCTTAGACTAAACACTAACGGTGTAGATAATATATTTCTTTAACGAATTATAGCAGAACAGCTCCTCCCCAGATTTAGAGAAAGAAATGGACACCTAAATACACCAGGCATTTAGAACCCCAAATAGACATGACCAGAGAAGATCTTCACCATGGCATATGGCAAATCACAGACAGGAAGTCAAAAATAAAAAGCAAAGGAACTGTCTTAGGGTTTTTATTGCTGCGAAGAGACACCATGACCATGGCAACTCTTATAAAGGAAAACATTTTATTTGGGGCTGGATTACAGTTTCAGAGTCCAGTTCATTATCATCATGGCAGGGAGCATGACGCATGCAGGCAGATGTGGTGTGGGAGAAATAGCTGAGAGTCCTATGGTCTTGTAGGCAATAGGAAGTCAACTGAGACAGACACTGTGGGTGGTAACCTGAGCATAGGAAACCTCAAAGTCTGCCCCCAGAGTAATACACTTCCTCCAACAAGGCCACACCTCCTAATAGTGCCACTTCTTTTGAGATTAGGTGGGCCAATTACATCCAAACTACCACAGAAGCAATAATAAGAACTATGAGAGAGGGGTGGAGAGATGGTTCAGTGGTCAAAAACACCTACTGCTCTTGCAGAGGACTTGGGTTTGATTCTTAGCACCTATATGACGGCTCACAATGTTCTGTAACTCCAGCTCCAGGGGATCTAAAACTCCCTTCTGGGTTTCCCAGGACACGGGCACTTCTGTACATTTACCCAGGCACATACACATAATTAAAAATAAAATAAATTAACTAAAAGCAGTAAGAGAAAAAAATCTAACACATCAACAAAGAAAGAAACATCAGGCATATTTTTAGCAGCACTCAGTGCGGGGAAAAGATACAATAATGTATTTGAGCCCTAGGAATAAAGACCTGCTGACTAAGATCTCTGTGTCCAGCAAAGATGTCTTTAAAAGTTGATGGAGACGTAAGGGCGTTTCAAGACAAACCACAAACTTGACAGTTTCTCAAGCCATGAAACATAGGACCGCCGTATGACCCAGTCAGGACACTCTTGGGTGCATGCCTGGAGAATCTAAGGCAATACCCACAAGTCCACCTGTCCTTCTTTGTTCATTACTGCTCTGTTCATGGCAGCTAAGAAATGAATCAGTCTAGATCTCAATCAACAGATGAACGATTTAAAAACAGAGCAGGCGTGTGTGCACGTGCACACACACACAGACACACGGAAATTTTGGAACTCCTCAAAAGAAAAGTGAAGTCATGACATTTGCAGGAAAATGAATGGAAGTGGAGATCATATGTTAAGTGAAATAAGACAGACTAAGGAAGACAAACACTCCATGTTTTCACTCGTGTGGGATGTAGATTTAAAACGACTCGTGGGTGTCTATACAAATGGGTGTATTTATGTATCCATGTGCGAAAGTTATGAAACTTGAAAAGGAGTCACGAGGGGATGGGTGACGTGGCAGAGGAGGGAAAAGAGGATCATGGGATACATGTGATATGAAGCAGATGGGGAGGGGTCTCGGGAGTCAGAAAGGGGCAGGATGGGGGTGGAAAATGTACTGAGTGAGGTAGCCCAGTCCCAGAAAGGAAAGCACTATGTGTTTTCTCTCACACGTGGGTCCTAGTTTCTAATTATATAAGTTTATACGACCTATATAATTATATAATGAACTTACATATATATCATATATAATTACATAATATATGTATCACACACATATGTATCTATGTGGGAGCAAGTGTGTGTAGAGGCTAGGAAACCAGAAAGGGGCTCATGAAAGGGGAAAGGAGACTTTGAAGGAGAGTGGTAGAGAGGGCAATGGGACAAATGTAATACTGAAGTGGAAAGGAGCCCCAGGTGGAGGATGGGAAGATGGGGGGAGGGAGAATGAGGGGGGACTAACTAAAACTATGCAGGAAGTGGTGTAAGGAAACCTGTTGCTCCATAATCCAATTTTTTAAAGAAATGCTTTCCTAGATACTAGGAGAAGTCTTTGAGACTGGAACTCCAAGCAAACAGGGCTCAAAGGCCTAAAGTCTAGAATCTGATTTTCCATGGTCCTAGGCTAGTTTCTGGCTTCTCTGATGTCTCCATCTGCAAGATGTAGATGATAAGAAACCGGCCTCCGTAGGGTGGCTGAATAAATGGACATCTGTACTGTGCCCAGTCTCCTTTCTGATAAATCTAGACTGCCATTATTGGTGGTGTTAGCAGTAGGAAGACAGGACATCTGTGTCCTAAGCAGCCAGCATTCCAGTTACCATTGGCACCACCATCCTGCTCCTCTGATGCCTGCATGTTTCACGAAGTCTTGATACACTGAAATGGTTTATTGTAGCAATGAACAAATTTCCCAGACAGGAAGAGGTTTCTGTTGTTCCTGGTTAGGGCCCTGCCTGGTGGCTTTGAGAAGAACGGAGGTGCCTGGAGATAACCCCGGGCCCTGGGAGAAAGGGTGAGTGCACATTCACCTACTAGGTGTGCCAATGTGTTGGACATGGCACAACTGTTCTGGCTGTCGAGTGGCCATGTGTGCATTAGGGTTTTCATGTTAGGTTCAATGTCCTGGCACGCTGTAGCTTGACAGAGGTCATAGGGCATGTTGAAAGCACAGGGAAGGGACCATGACTCTTTTGCTATCAGTGGTGACCTGACTTTACTAACATTCCCGGTGTGTCTGATGAGGCAGAAGTCCCACAGCAGTCCTGGTGGAGACCAAGTCCCTGTCTAGAAGGGACACTGACCAGCACCTCTCAGTTTGACCTCTGTGGATTACTGTGTACAGTGGAGGACTCGGGTCTAGTTGCTGCAGACAGATGCTATGTTCTTTGAGCGGAGGCAGGTGGGTAATGAAGGAGGTGGTGGGGGTGGTTGCATAGGAGGAGGTGATATTTGCTAATATGTCAAGGGACGATGCAAATTCAGAGGATTCATCAGAGCCTTTTAAATGAGAAGATGAAATGTCTTTTCGGATGACACACAGGCCTATACAGATAGTGGGGGTTTCTGATTTTGACTCTCTATAGTAAGGGTATTCGTTTCCACGCTCTGTGTCTGGATAAAAGTCAGCTATAAGGAGCAGTGAGCCTTTCCAGCCTTTCCCCATGTGACATGTTTTAGCAGAGCTGCTGGCAGTTTGCAAAATTAACTGTCACTTTCTCCCCTTCTATCATAAACAACCACAGGGCCAAATAGCAGGCAGTGGAGGGAAGAAGGAAGAGTTGCCCGAACAACCTCGCTACTCCGTGGTTTCTAAAGAATGGAGCGTCACAGGCGGATCTCTGTGAGTTCGAGGTCAGCCTGGTCTACAACGTGAGTTCCAGGGCAGCCAGAGCTGTTACACAGAGAAACCCTGCTTCAAAAGATAAAAACAAACAAGCGAACAAACAAAAAAGAACGGAACGTCAATGAGATCAACAGCACAGTTCCTACCCTGCCCCCACCTTCCCTTCCTCCTCACACTCCCAAAGCCACAGTAAAATCAAGTCCGGCCTCAGTGCTGCCTGCTGGGATCTCGTGGGCACTGTCCCTCGCTCCTTACCCCTTTGTCCAGTGGCACTTTCACGTCCATGGAGTGAGAACCCGTCTCCCCGTTGATCATGGCAGTTCTCAGCTTTAAGAGGAAAGAAAGGGGAGTTGGTGCCTGTTCACCTGAAGAAGGGAGATTTGAGGCTTTGACCCTGTCTTAGGATCCCTAGGATACTGGTTCTTCTGTTTTCCTCTGAGCAGAGTTCTAGGAGGGGAGATGGGCCTGGGTCTCTCTGGGTGTGATATAGAAGCTGGAGGCTAAGCACAACACCGAGCCCATGCTGGGCTTGCAGGTACAATTTCAGTCCTTCTCAATCACCCTGAGACATCTTTAGTTGCTGGAAGAATCACAGGCACAGAGCTGAAGGCTCTGCCCCAGAGCTGTCCAGCAGCCTCAAGCATTCCCCACGCACCCAGGGCTTGCTCGCTGGCTACAGGGCTCACTGAGTGAGTAGCGTCTCATGCCGCCTGTCTCCCCACTCACGGTTTCCGCTTGGTCCTCCCACTCCACTTCCGAGAGGTCCACGCTGTTGTAGTTGGGTTTGGGTCTCACCTTCTTGCCGTCTCTGTACTGGAGTGGGCCAGATGGGACGAAAAGGCGGGGTCAGCATCTACCCTGTTCCCTCCGCTCTAAAATCTTTCAAATACCCTCACAAAATCAAAGCATCCTATGATCTCCGGGATGACCCAGGCCAAACTTTTACTCAGTGCAAAACGGCTCCGGCCAGTGTGTCCCACAGATGGCCTCCGGCCTCCTGAGCGTTGCACATTCTCATGCCAGGGATCTCCTTATTTTGTGAGACAGCTTGTCACAGTTTGGACAGCCCTCATTGCTAGGAAGTTCTCCCTCCTGTGGAGTTCAAACCTGTCTCCGAACTTTCACTTATTGCTGTCAGTTTTCTTCTGGAACCACCCAGAATGTGTTCCTCCTGACAGAGCTTGGGATGCTCAATCTTGACTGTCTCAGCTAAACATTCAGTCTGAAAATATCTCAGCTCTCTGAAGCGATGCTCAGCTCTGTCAATGTCACCCTGCAAATGGAGCTGCCAGGGAAGAAATCAATTTTGCCCACGGAGTCTGGCCAGGAGGTGAGAGGTACGCTATGTGGACTGAAACACAGTACAGCTCTGACAGTCTCTGTTGGCGGCTTGGACGGCCAGGCCAGCTTGGCAGCCCAGATGGCGCCATTAGCCAGGCGAATCCCCTCGGTGTTCTCATGTGGCGCACTCCCACACGAGGGTGCTCAGTTAGCGAGCGCCCACCTATTTCTCATACGTTCCATCTTGTTAATCTCAGATGATCATTTTAGAATACTTTCTGAGCAATCGGTTTTCTCTTCCAGATTTTAAGGCAGCCGCAGGAGCATTTCATCTTGGTAGATTTTTCATTTTAATTGGTCAGGTCCAAGGGCAGAGCAGCAGTGCTTAATAACCATCTGGCTCCAAAATGTGACACAGATCCATGAGCCAGTTCTCCGCGCGGGGCGTTGTTCGCTTGTCCTTTCTCCCTCTTGCACTCTCTCGCTTTCTTGCTTTCCTACCCTTTCTTTGTGACAGATGCCGTCAGTTATCTATAATTACACCCGTGGACCTTCCCTGGTCTAGCCCAGTAAAGCCATCTGTAAAGGAGAGTTTATCAACAGAGTACGTTAAAAACAGCGCCATCTCCCCCTGAGAGCGGGTCCCCGGTAGATGTCTGGGAGACTGAGTCACTGTCGTTGCTTGTCTGGCTTCTGCTGGTTGTTTCATTTACGTGCGTTTTATTTTTTCTGTCCTGATTGTAGTATGGCTGTCCCAACACTGTCCCTACTCGCCTTGCCTCCTTACCCATCGCCCACACGATGCTCGGCTCTCAGACGTTGTCCTGATGTCCACGCTCACCACACAGCGCTGCCCTGCCCTCTTATGCCTGAACTGCCTCTCAGGAACAGTCCAATGCCATTTTCTAAGTCCTGACTACACCTGGCAGATGGTCGTCAGTCCTCAGCTTCTCTGAATAAACATGTAACTACATCTGGTTAGGCCATTGACACAGAAAGGCCCCGGCTTATATCTTGCCCCCCCTTTTATTCTATTGTTAGGAATATGCTCTATTATTCTGACTTCTGAAATTGTACCTTTTGCTTGCCTGAGAGCGCTTTCCTTATGCAGTACATGACACTAATCTTACTGCATCCTTTGGTAAGCCACTGACTGCCATGTGCCTTCACACATTTTCTTTTCTTAATCCGATATGTCCTTATGTTTACAGGACTCTAACTAGCATGTTAAATCAGGCACACAGTAGGTCTACAACATGATTGGCTGGTGAAAGCATAGGTGGGTTTCTGTTCCATGCCCCTTCATTCTATCTGTCAGCTCTGGGATCAACCTCCGTGTTCTCTTACTGTGAGTCATTTGATAGCACCCGTCCCCAAGAACCCGTTAGTACAAGACCATCCATTGGTTCAGATGTAGGCCCTCTGAGTCTGAATTGGAAAGACAGAGGGGAAAAGAACAATGTGTCCCCACTGGAGCCTTACCATATGCCTTAAGTGGCTCCGTCAAATGTCTTAGGGAATATTCTATCTCCACTTGAGCTAACTGACATGTGCCATGGTTCAGCTAGTCTCCCAAATGACTCCTGGGGCAGAGAAGCCCCTTCATCAATTCTTCTGCTGCCCAAGACTCCCCTGGGGTTCTTTAGAAGACTGAAGAGGAGCAGATTTAGGATGTCTCCAGGACGCCAGCTCCCTTTACCTCTCCAGCCATCATGCCAGCAGTGTGGTCATTGCTGCTGTGCTCAGTGTTGATGCCCCGGAGGCAGCGTTTTCAGATACCAGGTGCTCAGGAGAACTCATATGAAAACACCCACGGCTCCTGAGCAAAGTTCGAAGGGCACAAGGGCTCTGGCAGCATCAAAAGGCAAGCTCAGGGGGCCGTTCACTCCCCTTGTGAGAGGGCCTTGCTTTTTAAATTGTGAACCCTTGTTCACAATCCCTTCCTGGTCCTCTGGGGTTCTGCTGGTCCATCTGTGGGTTGTAGGAGGGATGGACTCACCGGGACAGTTTATCTGTGATAAACATCTGCAGTGATTAGACTTTTAAGAAAGAGTTATTATTTTTCCTAATTGAGTGTGTGTGTGTATATTTGCATGTGGGTATGTAACTATGAACACAGGTGCCTGTGAAGGCCAGAGGTATCGGATCCCCTGGGACTGGAGCTAAAGCGGGTTATGAGCTGGCTGAAAAGGGTTCTGAGAACCGAACCCAGGTGCTCGTAACTGCTGAGCCATTTCTCCCTCATGGTTTGGCTCTTAAACAGTTCCCCAAGGTCTCGATGTAGAAGGCTGGATTTCAGCATCAGGAAGGCACAGAAGGCACAGTTGGAAAATGGTGGGGTGTTTGGAGATGAAATCTAGTGAGGGGTTTAATGTTCTTTAAGAGGGTTATGGGACTGGATTCTCTCTCATTTTATTGTGTGCTGTCAACAGGTTTACTCTGTCTCATGGTCCCATCACGCTATGCTGCATGCGCCCCACAATGGCATAAAACAGTAGGCTCAACCAGCCATGGACTAACGTGGTTCTTTCTTTGTAAGGTGGTGATCTCAGATGTTCATTTCAGTAATGGACAGTGAACTGTCCTTCAGGGCTCCATCCTCACATCACCATCTGCTCTATGGTGTGGCTTCATGTATTTTTTTTTTTTAGCCGTGTACATCCTGTTAGATAATAAGTAGTTTGAAAACAGGTACAATGATGTTCATTTTTCTCTTGGATTAGCCAATGAAATTTTAGCCAATTTTACGAACTGTCCCCAATCTCATATTGTTAGATCTCAAGGCAAAGATCTGTACCTACCAAAGGTCGGAGGTCAGGATGAGAGAGGATGTAGCCATTGTTAGTGTTCAAAAAGGCATATCCATGTACCCCAAGCTGCCAAAACCAAGGGTTAAGGGCATTAGACACATTGGATGGCTAGGTGGGGGAGGAGTTGGGGAAGGGAATGAAGATAGCAGATCCTAGCAGTCGTGGTGTGGGAGGTTCTTCTGCCTATGTGTTGCTTTTATTGGTTAATGAATAAAGAAACTGGCTTGGCCAGTAGCATGGGAGGAGGAAGGTGGAGTTAGAGAGAAGCCATGGAGCCACTGGAGACAGATGCTGGGAATTGAACCTGGTAAGTCACAGCCACGTGGCAATATACAGATTAATAGAAATGGGTTAAATTAATATGTAAGAGTTAGCCAATAAGAAGCTAGAGCTAATGGGCCAAGCAGTGGTTTAATTAATACAGTTTCTGTGTGATTATTTCGGGTCTAAGTTGACTGGGTGGCCAGGAACCAACAAGCGGCCCTCCTCCAACAGAGTGAGTTTTAAACACAATCATACTGAGCCAGTGTCGCGCTTCTCCCACTGGTTTCCGTCAAGCCACCGTGGACTGCAGCCACAGAAATGTGAGCTCAAGTGAATTTCCTCCACCCTTCAAGTTTATTTTCTCAGCTATTTTGTCACAGTAGTGGGAAGTTCTGGTTCAGACACCCCCCACCCCCAGGATCCCACGCAGGTTCACCTTGTATCGGGGTGCCAGCTTCATGAGTTCTCTTAGGGTCACGTCAGAGCCTACTACGCCCAGGAGAATGCCATGGGATCTCTAGAAGGAAAAATGCAAGGGTCAGAAAAACTGGGCTTCTCAGACGAGACTCTAGGCCTCCCCGGGGCCTGGAAGAGGAAACCTTTACTGATCTTCCTTTGCAGTTGCATTGTAGGCTGAGTTCCCCAGATAAAAGTGTAGACTGTCAGAGGAGGCCCCAGGGGCAAGCTCAGCTGTTAGGAAGATTAATGCCCTGTATTAATATTTAAGTAGTGACATTTAAATGAAATACAAAGCTAAGTGAAATATTAATATTCACAGTCAAGGATGGACTATAAGGACCATAGCTTATGTAGCCTCTCTCTAGCAAAAGCGACTCATTTTCTGACCAAACAGACTACGGAGAGCTCTAGAAATTCCTTCACTAGAGGCCTTCATGTACAAGCAGAATCTACCCACTTTGGCTAGTTAAGTGTGGATCTTCTGGAAGGCTAGCAGAAGATCCCACAGCCTTCTGTTTTAGGAACAGAGCAGGGGGCAGTCACCCCTCTTCCCCGAGGCTGGGAGCTTTGGGAAAGCACGGACTCTCAGCTCCACAGTTGACCAGGGGGTTCTTGCATGGCTTTCCCAGGACTGGGCTTGGGAATCTGTATCCAACCCTTGAAGCGGGCTATAGGACTCAGAGATCTGGGAGCAGTCGCTCACCGTCTCATTCTTTTTACTGAAGACTGGCATGGCCACCGTGGTCAGGAGCACCAGGCTTTGTGCCTCTGAGGTGAAGAGCTGTTGGGGATGAAAGAGCAGAGGTCAGAGAAGGAGTGAGCCCGGGTGTGCAAAAATCCTTAACACAGCAGCTTAGAGAAGCGAGGCTTCGTCTCTGCCGCTGTCCTCTCTTTCCCGGTTCTCTATTAGACTCAGGCCCGACAGCTACCTAGATGTGGCATGGCCACCACTATTCACTGCCCAGTTTCCTTTTGCTGTGTTCCAAGTCCTCAGACTTCCTTCTGTCAGGTCCTCAGCACGTCCTTAATACCAACATGTGTGAGAGGCACAGGGAGCGTGTGGTGGGCATGGGGTGGAGGGCATGGATGGACGGAAGAGGACCAAGCAAGAAGGGACAAGTGTAAGCACGCAATGTAGGAAAGTAAAGACAATGCTGAAGCAGATCTCAGCCTCTTTTCTTGCCTTCCTTTTGCCCCTCTCTCACTTCTCCATCCTGGGGCACACGGCCTGTGACTACTGACCTCCTGGACAATAGAGGGTCACCTACTTAGATGGACAAGGCTCTCCCCTGTGGCCTCAGTTCAAGGCGTGGCCAACAGTGTGGGACAGATGACATCTCCTGGGCAATGCCTCAGGGAAGAGCCCACTCGAGCTGGTCAGATGCTCCTCTTACTATGCCGGGACTTTTGAATGAACTCCTGAGGCTTTTGTCTCCAGATTGGCAGGGTGGTTTTTATCTACTGCTACACGCCAGAATAAGTGTGCCCTGTCCTTAGACACAGAGAACGGAAGAAGAAAAGCTGAAAGTGTGCCGTCCCAGCCACCTCTGCCTCTGAGTTCCGGTCAATAAGAGGTAAGGAAGTACCTGAGCCAGCAGGGCCCCAGAACAGTCCCTTTTAGATGGTTAACCATGACCTTGCACCACTGGTCTCTAGGACCAGGAGCAGGAGGCCCAGCCGGGGAGTAAAAATGGCTGCAGGAAGGAGCCTAGGTGCCTGTGTCCAGCAGCCTCATCAGCTCTGCGATGCCCACCACAATGCCTAAGTGTCTTCTCCACCTTTGTCTTATCTCAGCCACTGTTGTCAGTAATCCTAGTCTGTATATTGTCACCAAGGCAGGGGCTCCATACAGGCTGTGATTTGGGGAAGAGGCAGAAAGTTCTCCCTCTCAAACATCCTCCATGACCTTTTATCTTTGCTATTTCCCCCTCTGTGTAAGGCATTGCTTCTTCCAGACAATGCACCAGGAACCGCCAGGATGAAGCTGTAGGGTGGTGAACCATTGGTGTGAACATTTGCTTCCCAGGGCATGGAGGAAAGGACAATGAGAGGGGGTAATTCAGAGTGGAAGGCAACACAGGGGTGGGGCATCTGTTGGGCAGAAGTTTAGGACAGTTGGGCACAAAGCTGGTGGTAGGATGCAAACTGCTAGGGGGAGGAGGGCATGGATGGTTTTTATCACCCTTCGTGAGTCTTCCTGTGGATACTGGCCTCTCCTGACCAAGAAGTCACCTCTTGCTCCTTCCCTGAGCTCTGGCCTCCCTGCCCATGTGGAGCCATCGTCACGCTCACCCTGCTGTCCATATATGCCTCTGTCCAGATGATGTCATGATCGTGGTTGATGACCATGGGACGGCTGAGCACATGCAGGTACTCCATCACGTTCTCCTGGGCATCGGCCAGTGTGGAGATCTGTGTGTAGTAGCCTGAAGGGGGTAGGACTGTGTGATCACGGGATACAAAGGACAGGCTCCACATAGTCTCTGCATAGGGCCCATGCACACTCCCAGCTGCTGGGTAGCCCTAGCTGGGCCGCTCTACTTCCCGGAGGCCATGCTTTGTCCTCCGGTATAAGACAAAGGCCTGCCCAGCTCCCGTTTGGGAGATTTTGGGGGGGATCTTCTCACTTCTAACACTTCCCCAGACAACAGCAAGGGGCCTCAGGTGCAGCAGTGGTGCCACCAAGTCTCCCACTTGGTACGCTCTCTGAGAAGTGGGACCCCAACAAGATGGTGCCTCCTGTCCTCCTGCGTACACAGCTCTCAGTTTCCCTCACCTTTATTCTCCCTAAGGCTCTGGTGCAGGCTCAGGCTATGGAGCAGGCTGCTTTGTTCTCTTCAGGGTAGGCACAGTGCTACTGGAAAGGGCTGTGAATGGTTTGGTAACTTCAGGTTTCATTGCCCACCACCTCCCCAAGCCATTTTTTTCCATCAGCAAAATGGGACAGCTTCCTTTCTTCCACGCCTCTTGCCTCAGACTCCGAGAGAATGCTGTTTCCTCTATGTGCAAGACCCTTCCTCATAATCCCCAGACTGGGAAAGTATTTTCTCCCATTGTTCCCTGCACCCTGCCCGGCCTATGCCTTGGTGTCAGCATGACACATTCCCACCATATTCAACTGAAGTCCATGTGCTAGCTACACTAAGATTGAGACTGAGCCCCTTTGCCCCATCACTCTTGGTCCACAGCCTTCAAACAGCACCAGGTATCAAGCACAGACTCAGTAAATTTCTATTGAATAAACAGAGTTGCATTGCAAGGCCAGGTTTTGGGTTCTGATCCCAGAGAGAAGAGAGCTGTTGGTACACAAAGCATTGTTCTAGAGAAAGTACCACACCTGCTGGTTGTGGCCACCTGTACATATAATCACAGCACTGGGGAGACTGAGGCAGGAGGATCATTATGACTTGAGGTCAGGCTGGGATACCCAGTGACAGCCTGTCTCATAAAACTAATAAATAAGGCCATTTGCCAAGAAGTCTGGCAACCTAGAGGGTTCAATTCCTGTAACCTGCGTGGTCAAAAGAGAGAACTGAGTTCCACAGGTTATCCTCTGACCCCTATCACAGACATGTGATTGGGTACATGCACAGATGGGCACACACACACAGACACACATCTGCATGTGCACATGTGCGCTCTAAATAAATAAATAAATAAATGTCAAATTAAAAAAATTTAACCTCCCTCAGAAAAAATCAATCAACAATATAAATAAGGAAAAAATGAAAAAAAAATGGAGCTGGAAATAGCTCAGACAGTAAAACACTTGCCAAGCAAAGACATAAGCCTCATCCTAGAACCCATGTAAAAAGGTGTGTGTGGTGGCCTGCCCTTGTAGTGCCAGTGCTGGGGAGGCAGATATGGGTGGATTCCTGAGGCTCTCCAGTCAGCCTGACTAGCTTAGCTGGTAAGAAAAACCTGTTTCAAAAACCCAAGACAGAAGGCTCCTCTTAATGAACAGCTTCTCCTGAGGTCCTCTGGCCTCCACATACATGCACACACATGCATGCATTTCTTCAATGTGTGCACACACACAAGAGAAAAAAAGATGACCCCCTGCTTTTGTCTTTGAACAAAGTCAGTGCCTTAATTTGCCACAACAGGAATGAAGGCGGGGCATAAGGGAGCTGACATTTAAAATGTGGGTCTCCCGATATAAATGCACACAGCTATGAATACCTAATTTTTGACAAAGAAGCCAAAATTATACTATGGAATAAAGAAAGTATCAGCAAATGGTGTCGGCATAACTGAATGTCGGCATGTAGAAGAACGCAGATAGATCCATGTCTATCGCTCTGCACAAAGCTCAAGTCCAAGTGGATCAAAGACCTCAGTATAAATCCAGTTACACTGAACCTGATAGAAGAGAAAGTGGTAAAAACCTTGAAAACATTGGCACAGAAGATCACTTCCTGAATTTAACACTAGGAGCACAGACACTGAGGTCAACAATTAATAAATGGGACCTCCTGAAACAGAGAAACTTCTGTAAGGCAAAGGACACTGTCAGTAAGACAAAATGGCAGCCTACAGAATGTGATAAGATCTTCACCAACCCCACATCTGACAGAGGGCTAATCTTCAAAATATATACAGAACTCAAGAAGCTAAACATAAAAGTATCAAATAATCCAATTTAAAAATGGTTGTGCGGGAGAATTATCTGTATTCTGTCAATCATGTTTTAAATAAATGCTGATTGGCCAGGCAGGAAGTATAGGCGGGAAAACCAGATAGGAAGTAGAGGTGGCACAATGAGAACAGGAGTATTCTGGGAAGAAGGAAGCTCTCTTCTCCCACTCCTGTCCAGACACTGAAGAAGCAGGATGTGACTTGCCCCGCTGGAAAGGGTACTGAGCCATGTGACTAACATAGATAAGAATTATGGGTTAATATAAGCTACAAGGGTTAATAAGTAGCCTGAGCTAATGGGCCAACCAGTTTTATAACTTATGGAGATCTCTGTGTGATTTTCTTTGGGGCTTGTCAGCTGTGAGGAACTGGGCAGGACAGAAACCCCAACAAGCAGGCCCTTCATGTTAAAAAATGGGGTACAGATCTAAACAGAATTCTCAACAGAAAATCTCAAATGGTGGAGATACACTTAAAGAACTGTTCAACATCCTTAGTCATCAGGGAAATGCAAATCAAAATGACTCTAAGATTCCATCTTATACCTGCCAGAATGGCCAAGATCAAAACCACTAATGGGAACTTACGTGGAGAAGATGTCGAGTAACGGGACTACCTACACCCCCACCTCTGGAGGGAGTGGAAACTTGTACAGTCACTTTGGAAATTGGTATGGCAGTTTCTTAGAAAATTGGGAATCAATCTACCTCAATACACAGCTATACCAATTTTAGGCAAATACCCAAAGGATGCACGATTATACCACAAGACATTTGCTCAACTATGTTCATAGCAGAATTATTCATAATAGCTAGAACCTGAAAACAACCTAGATGCTCCTCAACCAAAGAATGGATAAAGAAAATATGGTACATTTTCACAATGGAGTATTTCACTCAGTTGTAAAACACAGTGACCTCATGAAATTTGCAGGCAAATGGATGGAACTAGAAAAAAATCATTCTGAGTGAGGTAACCCAGACCCAGAAAGACAAACATGGTGTGTACTTGAAAGGGCCAAGCAGATGCCATAACAGGCTGCTCAGTCTTCTCTCAGGCCCCAGTTTCAGCTCCCTGAAACTGAACAAGCAGCTTCTGAAGAAAAGCCACGAATAGAGGACAAGCAATCTCCCTCACTCCCAACAGCAAGGAGGCCTGGTGCATGCGGTACTAGGCCAGGCCAGGCCAGAGCCAACCTCCACAGCAGCTCAAGGACAGTGCCTGGGACTTGTCCAGGCCTATTGGGGTCACTGCCATCTTCCCTTTGTGTAGGATGGATGGTCCCAGCACGCCGGTATACTAAAAAAAGACTCTTCGCTTTTGCATCGAATATGGTCTCTTGATGGTCTTTGGGGGTCTTGACTCTGGATACAACATACTCACTCATTAGTGGATATTAGGAAGGAAGTATAGGAAAACCAACCTACAATCCACAGCCCAGAGAGTTTAGATAACAAGGAGTGTCCAAAGAGGGATGCATGGATTTCCCTGGGAAGGGGAACTAGAGGAGATCTCCTGGGTAAACTGGGGGCAGGGGTTGGGGATGGAGGAATGAGAACTAGAGGGAACTGGATTGGGCGGGCTGCATGTGTGAAGCAAGTGGGAGGCAGGATGGAAAGGGAGAGTAACAAAAGAGACATCTTCATAGGGGTCATTTCAGAGTTAGGGAGAAGCCTGGTGCCAGGGAAATCCCTAGAAACCCACAAGGATGACCCCAACTAAGGCTCCTGGTAATAGTGGAGATGGTGCCTAAACTGACCATCTACTGGAAACAGAATGGTGACTTCCCTAATTGCCATCAGAGACACTCTATCCAGTAACTGACGGAAGCAGAGGCAGAGATCCACAGACAAGCACTGTGCTGAGCTCCGAGAGTCTTGTAGAAGAAAGGGAGGAGGGATTGTACCAGCCAGGGGGTCATGATGGGGAAACGCACAGGGATAGCTGACCTGAGCTCATGGGAGCTCACAGACACCAGACCAACCATCAGGGAGACTGCATGGAACCAACCTAGGCCCTCTGCAAGTGTGTGGCAATCCTGTAGCTTTGTCTCTTAGGAAAGCTTCTAACAGCGAGAGCAGAGCTTCTCCCTGGGGCCTAACTGCCATTTGGTAACCTGTTCCCCATGCTGGAGTACCTGGCCCTGCCTTGATATAGGGGAATGAGCTTGTCCCTGCCTCAAACTGACATGCCATGCTTTGTGCAAGCTCATGGGAGGCCTGTCTCCTTCTGAATGGAGATGGAGAAGAAGTGGATGGGGAGTGGGGTAGATGGGAAAGGGGAGGGAGCGGGAAGCTGGTTGGCATGCAAAATAAATAAAAAATGCTATTTAAATAAAAAATTAAAAAAAGAAAAAATGTGGGTCCTCTCTTGCCTCCTGCTCTGTATTCTGTGTTACATATTTGTACAAGGCTTTATTTGAGGAGACAGTTCTCTTGTGTACACCCTGGGTAAGTGGCCTTTGATTTGCGTTTTGGATGTCTATAAGCCCCGAAGTCTTGCCATCCTGCTGGCTTCCTGCGGACCGCAGGGTGCTCTCTTGCCGTCACTTACCTTTGTTGTTGCAGGCGATCCACTTCATGCGGTCGGCAAACGTCACTTCTCTTCCAATAAGGTAAGTGAAAACTCGGACCTGTCCACAAGAGAGGGACTCAGCAGCTGCAGGCAGCATAAGTGCCATTTATGATGGCCTTCCATACAGGGCCATGCAGGTCTTTCTTCTGGGTTCTCCGGCTGCACCCTCTTGGGCCAGAGAAAACCCAGAGGCCCTGGTGAGAATGTGAACTGCCAGGGTTCACGTGAACTGCACGGAGCAGTTCTTATGTCTCAAAACCACACTGGTCCTTTGTCCTGCAGCCTCCTGCATCCCTCCTCCCGGCCCAGGTTGCTGTACTTTCGGACACCCAATTAGAGTGTACCTGACCTGGTGCACAGGTCTAAGGGAAAGAACGCTGAACATGGGGCTGTGCTGCATGTAAGACTACCATGGTTTCGAGAACTCTGCCCTGGCACTGGTAGAGGCCTTCTCTGCTCTGACTTGCAGCGGGAGTTACCTTGCGGTCTGGCCAGTTATATTTCTCAAACACGGGCTCATAGTCTTCCACGGCTCCGTCGGTGATAAGCATAATGGCCTGGTTACAGAGACTTCCTCGTCTGGACTCTTGAAACTGAGAGAGCAGGGGTGAGGCTGTCACCACAGCCACAACCTGTAGTTGCAATATGGCCTCCCTCTACCCCCACCTGCCCAGGCTTCCCCCCAGTAGGTACCTGATTCAGGATCTGGAAAGCCTCGATTAGGGCCTGACTCACAACACCCACGCCTTTGACCATCAGTTCATCCACCAACTGCTTGAAATGCTGTCAGGGTAAACATGAGATGAGGCTTAGCGGGCCAAATGGACCCAGGAATCCTAACGCGGAGGGTGTTTAGAAGTGTTGTCTTGTCAGGGCAAGACCCAAGCTCCACAGCACAGCCAACCACATTCACTTGAGTCCGTGTTTCTTAAATGCCCAAAGATAAACTAAGTGCAAAAGGCTTGGTACCAATCTCTATCTCCTCCTAGATGGCGGGGCTGAGGATGAGGCTGGCCAGAAGGTGGACAGCCCAGGGTAACCACTGACTTGCTTTGTTCTTGCTGGAGGCCATGTAATGGGCAGAGCGCTGTATAGAGTCTTCCCAGACACCTCCCCCACCTGGATTCGAGCTTCGGAGTGGCCAAGCTCACCTCTCGGTTGTCTCGGTCTGCCTGGACGAGGATGCCTTTGAAGCAGGGCTCAATGTAGTGGACGTAGTCATTGTACTGCAAGGCACAGTGAAGATGGAGAGAAAACAATGTCTCACCTGGGCAAATGGGCAGTGCTGTCTTGGGGGTGTCTGAACAGAGCAAGTGGAGGATCTTGACTCTAAAACTGCTCCCCAAGTCCTGGTTCTGATGTAAGGTGCCCTTTCTAGGGTGTACTGAGGTCTTGTCATCCAGAAGGCATTCCTTTGTGCACTCAGACTAGCCAAGCCACTGTCCACCAATCCCAGAGCTTCCCTTGCATAGGTCTCTCCCCAGCCGGGGTAGGGAACTCTAAACTACTTTTTGTTATTGTTTATTTGATAGTGACTTTCATTATGTAGCCCAGGCTAGCCTGGTATTTAAATCTTTTGGCTAAATGTTTAGAATGTTGAGAGAATAGGTGTGGGCTACCAAGCTAGCTACATATATACTCTTGTTCTTTGCATACATGTAGATGGTCATTCAGTTATCCACAGGGGTCCCTAATCTTCCTTTTTCAGGGTCCCTAATCTTCCTTCTGCTGACATAAGAGGAAAGAGAGAAGACACATAGCTACATCATGGAAGAGCTGTGGGGGGCACTGGGGAGCACAGAAGTCCGGGTTCCTTCTGGGAGTTTCTCTGAGGAAGCAGGACAGAGTGTGAGAGGGAGGGGCTGCAGATGTACAGGGATAGTACACTTCCTCTCCCTGGTAGAGTCTGGAACCTGTTTCTGTGACCATCTTGCTGGTGCAGACCCTGGGATGGGTGTGGGAGTCAGCCCTGGGCTGTGTGACGGTTAGGAGTGCTGCCGTGGGCTAGCTGAGCCTTGGGTAGCAAGTCAGGGTCTGGATCCCCCAGCATGATCCTTCTGAAGCAAGACACCTTTGTCTCAAGCATGTATACATGCTATATAAATTCCACTAACCGCTAGAAATGTTAGCAACTATGCAGGCTGATAAGGAATTTTGGATCAGTGGCCTCTCTAAATAACACCCCAGAGTGGCTGTCAGCTCTGCGTCCATGGAGCTCAAGTGGTCCCCTATTGGTTGGACTTTTAAGCACCCTCCCTCTTTCTCCTGTGTACCTCCTTTCTGCCTTCGTGTCTGGGCTTATGGGATAAGGAAAGCGAGAGACTGGAATCCTAACAGATCAAGGGCTCAAGATCCCATCTGACCCCGTGTAGATGGGGAGGCTGCCAGCAGCGATGCTGCCAGGAGCCCACAGAGGGAACGGAGGCACTGCTGGGGCCTGTGGTTCTCTGTCTGTGTCAGACACGGAAATGGACGGCGCATATGGCCTCAGTGAGGGCTGAGCACACTCCCACATTATCTCAGATGCTTTGAGGGAACCTCGCAAAGCCACCCCCAGGCACTGCGGGTACTAGTTCAGGAGTCTTCAGTGTCCCTCTATGGTGGGAGGCACCCGTGGCTGGAAATACAGCCCTTTCGGTTCAGGAAAAGAATATTTTCCCAGAGCAGGTGAGAGCAACTGCCAAACAGGAAGCCGCCATTACCGCAATGATATTCACGAAGTCGTTTTCCCCCAGGGTGTCCAAAATGGTGGTGATGGTGTGTTTCGCGATGGCCATCCTCAGCCCCTTCATGCTGCCGCTCACGTCCACTAGGATCACTATGTCCTTGGGAGAGGTGGCTGCTTGGATGTACCTTTAGCAGATAGAGAGGAAATGGGACGGAGGTCAAGGCTGGTACTGCCACCTGGCTGGGAGCCTCCTGTTGAATTTATTTGATCTGGCTTATAATAAACTTGGGTCCCCCAAGTTTAGGCCATTGTGTGCTGTAACCCCTGGACACTAAGGTTACTGGGATGGTGAGATTGGAAGAAAGCCCCCTCCTTTTTGACAGAGGCCAGCCAGGGTCCCTGAGGGTCTGGCAGCAGGAAAGGAGGAGGATACACAGCTAATCTACCTGGGAAAGGGCTTGGCAAGAGCAGAGCTAGAGACAGTTGCTCTGGAGATGGCTCAGTACGCAGGGAGGTCTGAGTTGGAGACGGTGGGGAGGGAATGAGGAGCATAGCTAGCAAATCTTCCTATTCCTGGCTTGGATTAAGTCACTGACGTCCCTCCTTAAGCCTCCGTGTAGAGAAAGGGGCAAGAAAGCCAAGCAAAGCCCATAGGCTGGAAGGTAAATGCTGGGGCACAGTGCCCCTCCCCTGGGAGCACTTACCAGCCACGGTTTCTGCAGTCGAAGGCAATGACTCCATTTTCATCGGGCTTCCACTTGATTCCTGGGGAAACAAAGGCAGCATCTCTCACCAGCTCGAGGAGCTACCTGAGGATGCTGGCTATTGCTGGCTCCCACAATGGCCATGACCCCCAGGGTAGGTTCTGCTTCTCATATGGAGAACATGGTGAGGACACTAAACCATACCCTGTAAACTGAGGCAGCTGGCAAGGATGGAGGCCACTTCTATGGAGAGAAACTTGCCATCCAAACTGTCAGATCCAGGGCAGGAGCCCCCCCCCCCCCACTACATGTGCCAGAGCTCCTTTGTGAGGATAAACTTCGTATCAGTGAAGGAAGAGCTGCGGAAGCCATCCGGACATGGCATAGCAGTGAGAATCCGAGCTCTGACCTGCTCTCACTGTTCAAGTGGCTCATTAGCATGTATGCTCCCTCCTGGGCTGAGAAAAAAGTGTTGCTAAGTAATTTATGTCAGGAACTCCAGGCACTAAGCAGAGTAGGTGTTCGACAGCAGTCTGCTGAATGAAATAAGAGGCCTGAGAGACCTCGCTTGAACCCCAGCAGAATGCAGGGGGTGGATTCTGTCTCTCCATCTAAACATTAGTTGGGAAAAATGCACAAAAACCACCAGTGTGATCCACAAATCCTCTGCAGAGAAAGACCTTGGTAATCAGGAATAATGGGTTCAAAACGAGTGAGAAGAGCAGATGGGATTGTAATATGCTATGCTGGGACTAGACAAAGCACTGTGGCAGATTCCAGCAGTCTAGCGACTTCGGAGTCGCTTCTGGGTTGATAGCAGGTGGGATCTAAGGAGACTGAGGCTTCAGGGCCATTCCCCGGATGTAAGGATGAAGTCTTAGGGGCGAGGGTGTGGATCGGGGCAGCCAGAAGCCAAGGTCTTGAAGAGATGCAGGACAGAAACAAAGGGCAGGCCTCATTCAGTGGGGATTGTGTGGGATGGCTCGGACCTAGACTGCAGGGGAGCAGAAGAGGGAAGCTTTCCTAAGGTCACACTGCCAGCAGCAAGGTTGCAGGAAGCTTGATCTCATACTGACAGCGGTTGGATCATGGGAACCTGAATTCAGAAGAGTGTTGAGGAGAAGCTGAGCTGGTGTTCTTGGTTTGAATTAAAGTCTTAGAAGAGAACTTCAGCAGACCTGGATGCCTGATCCTCAAGTGGCAACATAAAGGGAAGTTCCCTCCTTTCCCTCTCCCTTCCCCTCCCCCACACCTCTCTCTTCCTTTCCTCATGGTTTCCTGCCTAGCAGAGTACAAGCAGGGCTGGCCTCACACGAGGATGACCAAAGTTGTGGGAAGCAAGTGTGAGAGGCAGTGAGATCAAGGCTGTTAGATTAACTTCCCAAGAGTTACAGATGGTGGAACCTAAGATAAAATAACATTAAAAGGCCAAAGGAAAAAAAAAAGGAATGAAAAGAATATATCATGTAGATGTCACTTTATGACATCCAAGAAAGAGATTTAAAATGACGTGTCATGGGACTGATTAAAGGTCATATACAATAAACACACAAAGCAGCAGGGACATGGAAAATGGAAGCAAAACAATCAACACGACCGAGCCAAAGGCTCAGCATTTTCTGCTGGCAGAATGATCTCACGAGCCCTTCTCAAGCCCACACAGGAAGTGCAAGCTTGAGATGAGTCAGGTCGTTAAAACTGATCTCAATTAACTTCCGTTGTCACCACACAGATCACAGAGGTGCTGAGTCAGAAATTTATTTTATTATTTTTAATTAGATATATGTGTGCGGGTCTGTGTGTGGATACATGCCCATGATTGCTGTGTCCACGGAGGCTGAAGGTGCAGGATTCCCCTCCAGGCAGTTGTAAGCCACCCGACATGACGGCTGGGGACTGAACTTCGGCTTTTCTTCGAGGGCAATGTACACTCTTAGCCGCTGAGCTCTCCCTCCAGCCAGGGTTAAGAATTGATAGCGAGGAAATAACTTGCAATTATATGCTTGGAGATTAAAACCTATACCTCAAATAGCTGAAGCATCGTTGAAGAAATCACAGGAAGACTGGCCTGGGAGGGTAGCAGAGTTGGTCGAGTGCTCATCTAGCGCTCACAGAGCCCTGGTTTGGTTTTCAGCACACGTGTAGCAGGCATGATGGTGCGTGCCTGTGATCTTAGCACCAGGGGATGGAGACAGCAGGGTCCAGAACCCATGACCAGGCTGCTGAGATGCCTGGCTGACTGAATAAAGGGGCATGTGTCAAGGCCCATGACCTGAGTTCAGTTTCTGGGGCCCACACAGCAAACGAGAAAACTGACTCCTGTAAGCTGTCCTCGGACCTTCACACTCATGCTATGACGTTTGTGTGCCGGCCAAGTAAATAAACAAGCACAATAAAATAATGCATTTTAAAAAGGAACCCAAGCTCGCTTCTCACTTTTGGCTACATAGAGAGTGTGAGATTGACCTGATCTATAGACTGATATTCAACCCCTCTCTCTCTCTCTCTTTCTCTCTGGACTATAGACTGATATTCAATCTCAATCCCAATCTCTCTCTCTCTCTCTCTCTCTCTCTGGACTATAGACTGATATTCAATCTTAATCTCTCTCTCTCAATCTCTCGTTCTCTCTCATCTCTGTGTATGTATCTCTGTCAGTCTGTCTCTTTAAAATAATAATTTCTTGTACTGTCCTTACTGGATTTTCAAAATTTTACCAGTTTCCTAGACTAGATCGGGAAATAATTTCCCTTTTCTAGTTTCTGGAAGTCTTTGAGTAAGATCAAAATGGCCATCCTTTTGAAGGCTTAATTAGTCATTTTCAAGCATACAGAACCACTGTTTAAGGTGACACTAATAGTCTGCTTTTTCTCTTTCTTTCTTTCTTTTTTTAATACAGGTAGGTTGGCCTAGATCTCATTATGTAGACTAGGCTGGCCTTGAACTCTGCCTGCCTCTGCCTATGGAATGCTGGGATTAAAGATGTGCACCACCATGCCCTGCTATTTAGTCTTGAAAATTTAATAAAATTACTTTTTTAAAATTCAAAATCTCTTTTATCTGAGTTTTTAGATGAATACATTTGTATCATTACTGTCTTTTAAATGTCTGCTGTATGTGTAATAATGTTTTTATTTATAACATTCCACTTTGAAAATTAATTTCCCAGTGGTTTCCATGTCTGTTGGTTGGTCTTTACAGGAATTCTTTGCTGCTGTTTAGCATTGTGGGTGGAACCCAAGATCCTGAGCAAGCTGGATAAATGCTCTCCCACTGGGCGACTCTCCAGCCCTTCAGGAATCATCCCTTGTCTTTCTTTATTCCTTGGTTTCAAATTCCGTCCATTTTAGTTCTTACTTTTTATGTTTTTGTTGACATATTGGGATTAAACCCCTCCCTGTTCCTTCTCTCTGTCTGGAATGGAGCTCATTATGATCTTAGACTGGGTTTCATCTTGTAACAGTTCTCTTGCCTAAGCCCCCTGGATCTTGGTATTACAGTTGTGAGCCACCATATCTGGCAAGAAAGGAAATTTACACAATCACTTTTCTTATAAAAATAGATGCAGAAGTCCTAAACAAAATATTAACGGGTCCAATGTAGCAAGCAAGAAAGGATTTGGTAAAATCAAGTCATAATATTTATAGGAACGCAAAGATGGGCTAACAGCAGGAAATCTAAGAGTTAGGTGGGAAAATGCAGTATGCCTTCCACAGGGAGAAAACACAAACAGTTAATAATGAATGAAAGGGTGCTATTCTACCGCATGATAGGAAAATGTGACGTCAGACCACAGTGAGATGCCAGCGTAGACTAACAGAGAATTTCAAGGCTTAACAATACTCAGCTAAAGAAAGTGTGACTCGGTGGGATGGCCGACTCATCACTTTGAGGGAATGCAAGTGATACAAGCGGTTTGGAAAGCAATTTGTGATTTTCTTGCCAAAATTGAATACTTAAATATCTTAAGGCCCAGAAAATTTATTCTTAGGCACAGACTCAAGAGAAACTCCTGAAATCATGTCTAAAACCAAAACATGTGGTGTAAGAATATTACGGGGTGGGGACAGAGTTCAGAAGTGGAATGCCTGCCTAGCAGGCGAGAGAGAGAGAGAGAGAGAGAAAGAGAGAGAGAGAGAGAGAGAGAGAGAGAGAGGAGACTGGTGGTGTCAAACTGAACGAAAAAGCAACTCCTAAAGGCACACATACTAAGCCAGCTTTATAAATTTTAAAAACAAGTGAAGTAGAGAAAGTGTTCTGGAAGATAAGATGGCAGAGTGGGAGGCACTGGGGCCTGCCCACCTAGACAATAATTGCATGGTTTGAATATATCTGATATCACTATTTTGGAACTTTGGAGTCTATTAAAGGCTTTCAACTTGCGGGAGAATTCTTTGATGGTAAATTGTAGTTAGTGTCTATCAGTTTCAGCTCTTAGCGTAGAAGCTGCCCACCTCCCATGTCAGTCCTGTGGCAGGCAGCTGTGCATGTATTCTTAGAGCAGCTAACACACAACTTACAGGAGCCAGGTTTGGCTCCCAAGACCCTGCTTTCCGAAAATAGAAGATCTGGGCTCCTGCCGCTGCATCTGATTATTACAATGCACGCACAAAGACTGCTGGCCATCTTCATTGTGCTTCCCACTTTGGTCTGAGTCCCTCCTCCTGGCCCAAGTCACTTCTAGGAAATTTTAAGACCAGGTATTTCCCTTCCCACCAATATATTTTGCTCTTTTTGCAACCATACATTAAAAGGAAGAACATTCTAAAACAACTATATATACAAAGAGAATTGTAAAGTGTTTCATGCGATTAGAAAGATCTGAGGCCTTCAATCGACACCTCAGACTGATCTTTCAATACACAGGCAGCTTAAAATAAAAAAAGACAAAACAATAGCAAACTATGGAGAAAGGAATCTGACTTCTGGGATTGTTACAGTATTAGATTCAAATGCTCACCTTTCAATTTAGAAAAACAAAAACACCAGGAATACAAAGGAATAGGAAAGTACGGCCATCCAAGGTTTGTGTATGTGTGTGTGCGGGGGCGGGGGAGATTG